AGTACAATAATTATAAGTGCATTATCTCACGCTCCCAGTGAACCCGGACAAGTGCCAATAATAACTAAAAATCAGTGGCGCCTTTTCTCCAGAGATCCCTGTAGATTGCACCCGGGGCAACGACGTTTAAATGCATTCATATTTGTATACCACCTGTTGATACGTCAATTTAACAGGTTCGATATCAGATTTTAGTCAGAAGATGTTAAAATATATTATGTGTATTTTAATATAACCTTATACAATCGTATTCAGAGATAAATATCACTGTATAAGTATATAACATACAGTTTCGCCGAATGACTGTGTCGGTATTGTTTCGTTCTCACGACAAAGCCTAGGGCGTTAAAGTCACTTTTCCGAAAAATCTAAATTGGACTCGCCACTTGATCGTACAAGAGACAGAAGGGTGGTATGTGTATATAAGAATGGGAAAAAACCTAGTAAAATAATGGGAAATAAAAAGAAATAAATTAAATGTACTGAGAAACAGAGAGACGACCGGCGCGTCGATCGTCTTATGAATACGTTATGATTATATATAAGAAAAAAGAAGTGCCCGGTTAAAAGCCCAGAAGCTAAAACGTATTATTTCTACTCCGGTAATGACTCGGCACAATTTGTTAGTTCGGAATTAGCTTCTCCTTTCATACACACATACATACCATACTACACGTGTGTAAGGCCTTCGTAGTTATCAATAATGAATACAGTATAATATGTAAGAAGACGAACGTCTTAGAAAGAGCAAGACAGAAAAAATAAAAATGCATTAAGAATATTATTTGTCATCGATTGTGTGACTCGTGCAAGAATGCCGGCGATATATGTAATCCGTTTCGGGTAATTATTCTTTTGTTAGTAAAATGCGTTCTTTATTGGTGTCTCGACCAATGGCCGACATGGACAATAATATCATTCCACATGCGGTTTTTTCTCAATTCCATTATTATTATATTATAATGTATGTATTCAGATTGATGTCGTGACACAAAAGAAAACTATAAGGAGAGAAATCCGTACAAAGAAAAAAATCAAATTTGGTATTTAAATCTTTTAAAATTGGTTGGTTGATCATAATTTATAACTCGAAAACGTTCACGTTGATACTGAAATGACTGCGAAGAATATTTATCATTTAAGTGTCTTGTAATTTAATATTTTTATATGAGTATAAAAAAGTTATGGTTTTTAAATCATAAATTATTAATAAAATACCATCCATTGAAAAGAATCTCGTTGTTTCAGTTTTCTTTGTTGCGAAATAATAATAATTATTCGTGAATAACACATATAACTTAGAAAGTCCTTGTACGTAATTAGCGTAATCAATGTCATACAATTATTATTATAAACGTATAATATGTCGAGGTATTCGTACGATGGTTTTCGGTGTTGGCTCGGCGTTTATCTCTCCATAGTGTCCCGCCTGGCAATTTCGAAATACAAACAACGCGCGGGGGTTTTAATATTATATTTGTATAGGATTTGAACACTGGGGTCGAAACTCGAAAGGCGATCCGAGTTGAGCGGAAAAAAAAATTAAGTGTATATAGCGAAGAGTAAAAACGTTTCGACTCTGTTGTTGTAGTACGAGATGCGGGTGTTGTGCCTACCTACCTCTACCTACAATCGCGCGGCCCATCGGCGGGTGACCACCGCCACTCCGTATAATACGTATGTATATGTGTTCACGCGTCTACTATCGACTACTATTATCCATGATAATATAATGTTATATAATAATATTATACCATACCTATATACGTTCACGACGACAGTGGTCTCGCGCGGAACCGTCGCCCCCGTCGTTTCCGCACCTGTCCCACCGCGCACCGGTCGTCTTCGGTTGATAATAATAATAATAATAACAATAATTGCCAACGCGCCCGTCCGTCCTACCACTAAACACACACACATACATGATGTATATATATATATATATAAAATTTATATGTAGTACGGTGAGATCTGGGTAAGTAATATATTATAATAATGTGTATGTGCGCGTCCTACTACCGCGCATGGTAATACGTAATAATAAAAAAATATATACTTCCTCGGGCGGCAACACGCATCATGTACAGCGCGAGGAGAGACGACACGGTGTGAACAAGTTACCCGCGGCGGCGCACCGTTTCAATTTGTCCAATTATCGCGCAAGGGATTAATCACCGTCGCCGCCGCCGCCGCATCATCGTCATAGATACGCGCGGTGGTCGTTTGTCAAACGCGTGTAAAGAGTGGAAAGAAAAAAAAAATTACACACACTCACACACATAAGCCGTAGGTACGCATATTAAAAAAAACCACACCGGTGTGGCGGTGGCGGTAGAATGAGGAAGAAGAAGAGGAGGAGGATTGGCTGTGCCCCCGAGGCCGGCGACCGGCACCTAGGAATGTTTTTTATTTTTATTTTACAATTCCTATATCACTATATGATATTATGTTACGAGTGTTTCGACGACGACGACGATGACTACGAACGATGATGATGATGCCGCCGCCGCCGCCGCGCGTTGCATGTAAATCGGTTCGTGGCCCGACGACGACGACGTCTTCATTACTGACGAACGCCGCTCGCACTCGATATAATTTATAATAATAATGATAATAATATGATATACTGACGACGACGACGAGACTGTGGTAGTAGGACTTGAGCCGGTCGCGGTTGCAGCGCCCGTAATACTATCATTATATATACATAGGTGTATTATGTGTGTATAATATATGTATCGTACGCTACGTTTATATGCGCATAAACGCGCGTCCGCCGAGACAGGTGTGCTCAATCAAAACGAAAGAGGAAAATAATATATTATAAACGCCTCTTCTCTGCGCTCGCGCGCGCGAGCGTCGAGTTCTTCACTTTTACAAATTTCAAAATCTGTACTATACGCCTGTTTCGTACAATAATAGCGCCGGTATATACGACCGACTGCTAAACGGTTTTGTGTACATGTATATATAGGTAATATGGGTAATATACGCGGCCTGGAAACGAAATTAAGTGTCGGTGTTTATATGTATATAATATAATATATAGGTACCTGCGCCGACATCAAACGCTATTACTTTCCCGCCGCCACTGTTGACCATCGGTGTAATTTTTTTTTCCATATTATATTATATGTTCGACGTGAGTAAAATCGTTCGTATAGGAATATATGGACGGCTCACTAGATGTGTATATATATATATTATCTCTATCGCGAATAGAACGCTGTGTTACGTATTATCATATCTGACCAGATACGCCTGCAAAATAACTATATCACAATACGTTTTATATATTATAATATATACGTGCGAAATGTGTTGCCTCGGTGATTTTTTACTTTAACATTTGTCCATATATATATATATTAAATAGTCATTACACGCGATTCGATGATATCATTCGTTATTTTATCAAATATTTGTGATGTTTGTATAACCTCTATATTATATTTTCCTGTTGTATTTACATGTAACTTATTCGGCATAGATAGTGCACTTTATTATATTCATAGAATATTATGTGTATTTCCTTGAACGTGACTATAGGATTTATAGGGCCAGCGGGACACTTTTAGCGTTCGAAAAGTGAATTCGAGTTCGAGTGCTTGACACACATAGTAACGAAAACCACAACAATAAACGAGATCCTACCGAGAGAAGTATTACCGGGCCCGGGATATAGACAAAAGCGATTATTGTATGGATATGTCTAGGGAGTCTTGAAATGAAGTCAAGGTCTCTATAGTGGAATTTATTGCTGCGAATTTCGGTGCCACCCGGTAGCTCTCATACATGTATATAGTGTATTGTATATAATATATTTATTCATGTGCGTTGACGACGGTGGCGGTCTGATATGTAAAAAAAGCATTAAGATGGACAAAAAACATACACACACACACACACACACACACACACATACACTATATACCGAGCGTTAGGAATTCATTAGCGGCGAGATAGAAAGGGTTCGAAAGAAATCCTTGGTCTTAATTGTGTATAAAAGCGTCTGTGGATATAATATATGGAAACCGGCGCGTAATTAGAATAGACGAAAATTGTATTTTAATAATAATAGTTGATAATAATAATAACAACCGCGGTAGCCCCGGAAGAATGAAAAAGTGTTTAGAGAGAAGGCCATTAGTTATTCATGGCTGACACGCGGGGCTGAATCATGCGTTATTAAAAAAAAAAGAACCCGAAAGAAAGAGAGGTAGAGAAATAATATCGTATTGCTTAACGACGAAATATTCTTTACATATATATGCTTCAAACCCATTCTGTTTCTCATTAAAATATCATTAGTCCGAACGAGTGTGTGCCTTTCGATTCTCTCCCCACCTCCCCTCAAACTTTGGGACCCCGCTAATGACACACACACGACTCTGTGTATGATTATTAATCTTCCCCACTCTTGATATAAACTAGATAAGTAAAAGTCTGTAATGCCATAATGGTCATTTGTTGCGGTTTTATTTTTTTTGCTTCTATGTACCAAGACCAATACAATATGATTCCGATAACTGTATATTAAATTAAATATTCAAAACCATTGAGAATATTTTAATTAAAAAAAAATTCTATAGGTAATACACTAATAATATTAAATTATTTTTATTTGTGTTAAACATGATAATTTATAGGCTCATGATTTATACTATGATATATACTATACGGTGACGTCAACACATTTGATTCATCTCGTAAATACCAGATGACTATCACTATGTACGAATGACTCAAATATCTACCGAAATATTATAATATATACGAGACAAAATTAAAACATTTAATCGGTCAATTTATCATAATATTGACGATATTAATAGGAATATTATATTTTATTCTGCGAAACTGTCGTTCACCTTGTTTTCTTGTTTGCATAGTTTCACTTTAAATTGTGTGTGAAATCTGGTCTGTATATATATCACTCAACATGCGTATATTTTTTATTTCTTCAACACTATAATGTGTGTTTCATTTATTTTTTTTAGACACTTCAGACCGACTGATGCACCTAGAACACAAATTCTACTGCCGAGATGGTGAGTCTTAAAATTCTATTTTAATCATTTATTCTACACAAACACATATTACACAACAATATGTGTAAAATGTTTACTGTGCATCACTACAGTGTATAATTCCCTCCTTTTTTATTCGTTTCGCCAAACATAATTATGTTCGCGTTCTTGTATCGGTGGTGACCTTGGCATTTTTATTACCGTTGCGGTCGAAAATTATCGACGATATTTTTACGGCTATTAGGCCTCATCTTAGAATATAAGTACTACTTTCAAAACGTGTTTACTCGATGTAAAAAATGATAGCTCTCGGGTGCAGAAAACTGGCGCCAACGCACAACCACCACCACCACTACAATCACTACCACCGGTCACCACCACCCTATAGGGGCGACTACCTGTAAAACGTTGGCTCAGGTTAGTTTATTGTGTTTAGGTATATGATATTGTATTTATATATACATGTATATATAAATATTTAATATAATATACGTTGGCGTAAGCGTTGTGTAAGAATCTTATATGAGTGTTTGGTGCCGATTTTTTTTTCTTTTTTTTTTTACTGGAGAATCGGTACAAGTAAAAGGATTAACTCCGTGGGAAACACGGCACAGATTAATGAGAGTCTATTAGAGGTCTATGGAATAAAAAAAAAGAAAAAATAATGAAATAATGAAGTAGTAGTTTCGTGTATTGTTTTCGACTGGACCGCAGACGACGAATCGTGATGGACGACCGAATGATATTTGACAATGGAATTTGGCATTGTAATACGGAATTATAAATGAAAAACAAAACAAAAAAAAAAATGAAACATTTTTAGGCTCCAAATTTCACGCTCAATATTAGCAATAAACGGTTGTGTATTAATGTATACGTATATATGTTACTTTCACTCTCTGTGTCAATAATTTGGTTCAATAAAAAAAACGATATATTTTCTGCTCTCGTTAAAAATCCATGGTCGATATTTTTGTTGTCTTTCGAAATTTTAATAATCAGTAATTTCTAGTTTTCCAAATAGTAAAAACATACCTATATTTACGTTGATCTAATTAGATTATCGTGATCTTCCGTAAAAGACAAATTGCGTTATTAAACCGAAACGGTCCAGTACTGAGCACGAGTTAATAGTTTCGGTATGTCACGAACTTCTCGGGAGTCGGTGGTTCGTCTGCTTTCTTTCCGGCTTCCCCGTAGTAATTTAATGAACCGAAACGTGAATACTAGTTATTTTATTGTACTCCGTTAATCTAAATCACCCAAAATGCGTAATACGAAATATCTTAATTCAACCAAATGTATCGGACTACATGCAGGTATGTAAAAACAAAAAATTAGAAAATTAGTGTTTTTGTTATGTATCTTTGCATCATATAAATCCAATGGGATAAAAATGTAAAATGACTTGCACTACTGTTGAAATAACTGAAACCTGAACAACTGGCTCGTTCTCATTAATCATGTCTTATACAGACAAGCGTAAATCTAATTTAATTTTAAATTACTTCTTTTTATATGGATATAAAGTTCTATGCTATTTTATTCCTAGTAATAAATGTATATGTAATATAATGCACATAAAAACGCGTAAATGCACACGTTGTTTTTATTCCGAATAAGATTACGATTCAGATAGTGTAGTTTTTTTGCACGCAGAAATTCAATATCGGAAACGAGTGTGTACCTACTAAGTACATGAATGTTGCTCTTGATTATCAGTTATGCAAATGAATGGTATTATATTGCGTGTAATAGCGAAAGCATAATTAATGTTATAAAAATGGTGGGAGTAGAACTATTCGTAGAAAAAAAACTAATTTCGTTTTTAATGTCTTTCTTCAGGTCGGAAATATAAAAAGTGGAAGGGAAACGATGATAAATTATAATAATGCATACGAGAAATATAATAATTAACAGGTACTATATTATGTAAAAAAAAAATCGTTACTGGACCACATCGAATAAACAGTTTCTCAACCAGACTAGGAAATTCTTCAATAAATTCTTGTAAACAGACAATTCTTTCTTTTTTTTCCTCCCTGCAACAATATAATTCCCATTCATGTATGCGCATTTTGTTGACAATTTCCTACACGTTCTTGCAGTCTGGTCACGTTTTTTACACAACTGCATTAAAGCCGGTACCCCCCAGACTGGTCCTAGACGGGTATTTTATTTTCCCTACCTTATTTTATAGTTTTGTACACTCATCTTCAATCCGAGCACACCGATTCAAAGAACTATTGCACGTGCTGCAACTGCTATTGTACAACAGACTATTTCAGTGATGTCAAGTTGCACACATCGGTCGAATATGTGATAATACATATGTATATTTTATAACGCATGATGTGAACAACATGTAATTAAATATAAAATAGTTATGTAAGTAAACGGAAAACATAAAAAAAAATTCAAAACCACATGTATTGTAACGTAACAATATTTATGTAAATCAGTTGTTTGCGTTGTTAAGAATAATTGTATAATTTAAAATACTTAAGTTATTTAACTTAAGGTAGTATTTTATTAAATAGAACGTCAGAAAAATATTATTATACTTGATAAGAATATTCAAGATTTTACAGGTTCAATTTTAAATTACAATAAATATATTATATTTTATTAGTGATTAGTTATTACTCTCATTTACTCAATTTACATAGGTAACAGTATAACTAATGATGATATGGAATCTTAAAAATTCAATAGGATATAAGCAAGATGTATATAGAAGTTAATATGCAACCATTGACTCGCAACTAGTGTGGAAACGTTAAAATACGCAAATTATTTTGTTAATTTACAATTTCGAAAATCTCTTTTTTGCAATTACTCATGTTAGATAATACAAACCTGCCGGGTTCAATCTATTTTTAGCAATATATTTTTTATTTGTTGTGAATATACACGAGCCTCGTGTACTTTATAATAAATGTATCCAAACATTAAATTATATATTAGACAAACAAATAGGTATACAAATGATAATAATTTATATTAATGTGTACTTATTTGTTTATTTATTTTACTAACAAAATAAAGGTATAATTTAATAAGCACAGATCGAGCAAATTTGCTCTACGACATTATTGTACGGTTCTTAACATTTATTTAAAGTTGTCTTGAAGATGAAACGATTTCAAAATAAATAATCAATCAGCGTTCGAGATGCGATTTGCTTGCACGCAAACGGCCAAACAGGACATAAAAAAAATTCGAGTTTCGCGACGGGATGCCGTCGTTACGTGTACGTCTCAGGAGGTGGCGTTTCTATACGTGCACTTTTACCTGAATATCGTCTGCAACGAATGAGCGAATGCGCCCGCGTCGATTGTTAATAATAATTCGCACCGCATCAATCATAACGCACGCGCGTTCAAAAATCCAAAAAGGGTGGTGTTGGACGAAGAACCCAATAATAGCTGCTCGTCCATTTCCATATTAACGAAACGACCGGCGGCTAACCCCTCACGCGAAAATATATCGCTTCAATTTCCTTTTCGTTTTTCCTCCTTTACACTCAATATATTTATATATATGTATTATTATGTCAGTGCGTGTGTGCAGTATTTGGCTTCTAGTTATATATCAAAGTCGTTTTTTTTTTTACCTTAAATCTATTAGACCGTTACCGCCCCGCGTATAGGTTTCGTATTTCTCTTTTTTGGGTCTGTTTTATATTTATTATTAAAACACTCGCTTGAGACCCGATGGACGTTTATAAAATGCTTTCTGTTAGCTTAGGTACCAGCTACTTTTCGTCTATAACGGCACACGAGTTGCTATATTATTGTTATTATTCGCTTTGAAAAAATCGCTCGATATGTTAGAGGTATTTTAGGTATTTTTTTTTAATGTATATTTTTCTATTTTACCCTATAACGCTGGTCGATTAAAATGTTATTTTAATATACAATTAACTTTAATATACCTATAGGTACTATTTTTTAATTTTTTTTATTGTATTATATTTTATTTACTAACTGTGAGTTGTAGTAAGTTTATTATTAAATACGGAATAATTAGGTAAATTTATTGATAAATTAAATTATTGCATACAATGGTTAACTATAGTATTATAATGTTTTTCATAATAATATATAAAAATTACACATGCAATAATTTACCTATTGAAATTGAAATTATACTAATATTATTATGATATGCATTATTTATGATTGTATAATAATAATATATTATTTATATTAAACATTAATTCTTACTATAAACTAAAACATATTCATTGTTTGATAAAGATGCATTCAGTATTTTATACTCTTTATGTTACTCTAAAATTTAAATGACCTTAATATGTAATTGTAAACTCATGCTCAAAGTAAATTAAATTCCATATGTAATTCACGCAAGAGACTTGGGACATTTTTTGTTGAAAAAATTTATTTTGTTAGGTTTTAAATGCATTTAAGAAGAACAGAATTAAATATTTTATTGTGCCGTAACTCTTGAAACATATTTTTATTTTATTATAACATATACAAACATTAGGATGCTATTCTAAATTAACGGTTTATTATAATTAAATTTAAAAAATAAAAACGTCCGCTTGAATATCTATTTCATTATTTTTTTCTCTTAACTCTCTTATTTAGATTAAAGTATGAAACTATAATAATGACATCACGAATAAATAATAATCTATTATAATTCTTTCCTTTAATGACTCAACCATTGCATTCGTTTTAAACATTTACTCGTATTTTCAGACACCCAAAAACTTTTTCTCTTTATTACCATTTCCTGCAGCGTAGTTAAAAATATCGAGTTCCTTTTGAAGACGGCGAGTAAACCTTTAATATAATTTCGATACCCTTTAACCTAATCCTATTAATTTTTTTTTTAATTGAATTTTTATTATAAATCCTTCACCCCCGTACCGGATATAAATAAGCTTATGAAAACCTTTAAAAAAACCCGTCTGACATATTCATTTGCCAATCATAATACTGACGCGTATTGTATTATCCATTTACTGACAGGTAGGGTTTCATTTATAT